AAGTCTACTTGGGCCTAGACCAACCAATAGATTAATTTAATGTCATGATATCATGAAAAATAACACACTTCATCAACGGTTGCTCAAGTACAATAGCGAAATCTTCCAGTGCTTTCCTGAGCATGGGCGTATCTGTTCCATGGGGACAAAGACAATTGACTCGTATGCCCTTTTCCACAGCTTCCTGCAAAATGTATATTGGATCAATAATTACTGCAGAGTGCATTTTATAGCCATTTTCACGGTTAGAAAACAAAGTAAATTGAGCGAGGAAACAGTGGATTTGCACCAAAGCGAGGGAATATCAGTAAAAAACTCAACAAAATTGTTCTTTTTGAGAGCTTGTTTGTTTTTTCGCAATGTAATGGCACTCTTGTTCATTTGAGGACTGCAGCAAACATGTTGCTCGCTATGGTTTTAACCGCGAAAAGGCGTCTATTTTCCCTTCAGGACCATCTAAGATCGGGTATCCATGTTCATTCATGCGGCWTAAARGGATAATCAAAGCACACATGATGYTTTTCTGAAAATCATTTTACGGTTATCAGCTTTGAACCAGAAAAGTRAGTATTACCTGTGATACGGCAATTGCTCTAGTGAAGCCAATCACACCRCTTTTTGTGGCTGAATAAACCGGACCAAGGCCCCACGGCGTTATTCCTGTGGACATTGTTAACATCACTATCAAAATCAACGACATTTATATATAATGGGAAGTTGTTATTAGATTAGAGACTGGTCGAGGCAGAGTATGATATGAACAATTATTGGTTGAGCCAGAGTATGATACGAACAATTATTGGCTGAGCCAGAGTATGATATGAACAATTATTGGCTGAGCCAGAGTATGATACGAACAATTATTGGTCGAGCCAAAGTATGATACGAACAATTATTGGTTGAGCCAGAGTATGATATGAACAATTATTGGTTGAGGCTGATTACAATATGAACAATTATTAGGATATGAAATAATCAAGATGTTTTGATTAAATTTGATAACGAATACCTGCATAAGAAGAAGTGTTGATTATCACCCCAGAAGACATCAGCTCCAGTCCCAGCTTTGTACCACGGATTACTCCACCCTGTATGATATTCGAATATTACTTAATATATCAAATATGAGCGGGAAATCTTTACAGGAATTAAAACATATATATATATATAAATAATATTAATATCAAATTCCAACATGAACTCACAATCATATTATTCTAAAAACTTCAAAATATTATATTAGTCGTATGCAAAGAAGGGCAAATCTCTTTACTCGTATAAAGATTCGGTTACCGAATCAATTTTCCATTGTGTTTACCTACCAGATTAACATTCAGTGTTTTCTCCCAGTCTKTCTTTTCAACGACGCCTGCGTTGTTGCACAGAATATCAAGCTTTCCATTTTCCTTAATGACAGTATTCATGGCGCCTGAAAGTGAAAAAACTCAAAATGGTAAATAGGGCCAATCCGCTCACAGGCAAACTCCTTGTGCAAAGCTTTCATGATCTGGGTGGGCCTGAGGGGTGGGGGGTGAGAAGGTGGTGGTGGAGATCTGTTTCACGGTTTTAAGACTATGTCAATGAAGACGACAATTGACAGCAAAATTGCACGAGTATTGTTTTGGATTCACATCGAGCTGCTGGACTATCCAGAAATGTTTGCCTTTTCAGTCCCATTGATGAATGCTTATTGAGATCGGAAAAAAGTGATTTAAGCTCCTGCCACTTTCTGAATCGTTGACAATGGTTGATAATACGAAACGGGGCAAATACTTATTGTTTGTTGTGTTTTTTTTTTACAGAACACAATGGTTTTTGAGGTAAATGTTGAACGCGCGGACGTAAATACCACTAAATACTGCTAAATTATGCTATTCTATTGTTTTCTATTGTTTAATTAACACTATTTTGTAGTAAATAGTGGAAAGTGTTGCACACATTTAATGTTTGTACTCTATTCATTAATGCAGAACTTACTTTTTAAATCTTTATTATTTGTGACGTCACGTTCTATAAACACTGCGGAGCCTGGGCCATACTCGGCTTGGAGAGCTGCCTGCGCATCAGTTCCTTCCTTCTTCATAACGTCAATCAAAACAACCTAAATATTTCAATGAATTATGAATTCGTCAAAGCAACCGTTTGAAACAGCCCAGCACCATATCCACAATAGAAAAATGTCAATCCTTAAACCCTCATACAGTTTTTAATAGTCATCTTCTGAATAAAGTAGAATTACTTGTGCGGGAACCCTGTGCATTTAGTCTTCTGGTCTTCCTTTGGTGTATCCATGCCAAATATGGAAAGAAATAAAATGGCAGATTTTTCAGAAGYGTTTTCGCTATAGTATATGCACGTTTCAGACGATTGTAAAAACAAGTAGCAAAATAAATATGTATTGTAATAAAAATCGAAGACTAAACTAGTCCACATGTACTGCCAAATAAGGCAAGATTAGATGATATATGGGTGCGGACAAAAAATGACAAATTGGGACGAAAATCACAATAGAAAAAAAAAATGGATCCGCCGATCCGAGAGCCTCCATTCCACCGTTGCATTGAGATCAATGATAAGGTCACCAGACCATACCATCTCGTGATCGCTGAAAAACCTCTCAACTAAAAACTCTCCTCAAAAACATTCATATACTGCAATTGTCTCAATACATCGAACACTAAAAATAGCACTAAAATGTTGTATTCAGTACATTGTCGATATTCAAAAATTCAGAATCAAATCAAACCTCGTCTCACCACTTTTGCGCCTTGCTTCAACAGTTCTTCACAGAAAGCATATCCAATTCCCCTGGCACCCCCTGTAACCATAGCTACAGCCCCCTTAATTATCATCTTGTGAGCTAGAAGTTGCGATCTCTTGAAGGGTTTGGATCCAGTGACATCCACGAGAACCCAGGTTTTCTGTCGCTCGTTTCTGACCCAGGAAAGCCTGTTTGACCTTGTTCTCGATACTTAGATACTACGTGCGTTCTGATTGGCCGAGTACTGTGTTTGCATGACAGTATGTAAACATTGTTTTTGACGTCAACAAGATATTTTAGAAAATAGAGCTGCCACTAGGGATAGAGATACCATTCAACTTTAAAACTCTTGAAATGTCTTCATGTAGATCACGGTCCGT